CGTTCTATCCGTCTTGGTGTCTCGAGTTGCCACGACTCGTTGCGTCTCACCACGCCGCGCCGCCACGCAATACCGTCCCATACTCGGCGTGTTACGGCGCCGTGTTTCGATCCGCGGTACGTTCGCCACGAAATTTCCAGTTCGGCCGATCGTCCAACGGTATACCGAGCCGCGCGACCGACCGGTTTCCACGCGTTTTCTCTCGCGATTTTCCTTTTCCCTTCACTACGTGCTCGTGCGCGCTCCCTTCAGTCGCCGTTGTTAGCACGAGGTGACGCGCGACCGACGAACCAGCGTACGCGAGAAAACGGCCGAAGGAACAGAGAATAGCAGGCGAGAGAGAAAGAAAAGAAAAGAAAAGAAAAGAAAAGGAGGCGGCTGCGAGAACGAAACGGACGAACATCGAAGCGGGAAAATTAAAGGACGAAGACTGAACTTACCGTGATAGGAGAACGTGAGAGAAACGTTTCGCGTGAACGAGGTTCCGTGATACAGGTAGTCGGTTTCGGCGAACGATATCGAAGAAGCTCTGATTTGTGTCGCGTCGACGGTCGATGGTCGACTCGCGGGACAGACGCGGCTACGATTCGACAGCGAAGGTGGCGAAAGCGCGGCTTGACACAGGTGCGCTGCCAAGGTGTGCCTACGACGATTCGGGTCGGCTGCCGCCTGGTAGCGTCGTACCGAAGCTTCGATTCGAGCAAACGTGGGAGAGGGAAAGCACGCGCGACCGCCAACGTTAACGCGAACGCGTTAAATATTGACCGAACACGATTAGACGAGAGCCGAGGCTCGTTCCCTCGCGCTTTCCCTCGACTCGTCGCATCGATCGCGTTTTAGTCTCCCTTTTCGCTCGCCGCCATCTTGGTCTCGCTGCACCGGATCCTCCCCTTTTCGCATTTCCATCTTTCTCCGTCCGCCCTTTCGCCTCCTTTCCAAATCCTTTCTCGGGCGAGAAACGCGGCAACGCGGACGACGAGGAAAAGCGGCTGGCTGGAGGGAGAAGAGAAGAACGATTTATCGCTCCTTTCGTCGCCGGCAACCGACTTCTTCTTCTCCGGTCGTACCGGATCGTCCGCGTCTCTTCCCGATCAACGAGATACGCGAACCGTCGCGTATGCGGAAAGAAGCTAAAAAACGCACCGTGCGTTAAGAGAGACAGAGAGAGAGAGAGAGAGAGAGAGAGAGAGACAGAGAGAGACAGAGAGAGACAGAGAGCACTCATACGTCGCGTTATCGTTGAAAACAGCGGGAGAAGAGGCCGAGAGCTCGAGTCGAGAACAGAGGGTGTCGTCATACTTGCAGAGCACACACGGGATTCCTGCGATAAGGGACTCGCTCAGGTGAGACACGGTCGTAAGATTGGTGCCGTGGGGCGCGACTCCGCGTAAATCCCAACGGCCTAACGTCGTCCAACTTATCCCCACGGGAGCAAACATCGCACGCCTCGATCCCCTTCGTCCACCTATCTCGATAATTCCCATTCATCGGCCATCTACCACGGGCTCCCGTCGTTCACCCGGAATACGCGAAATACCCGGAATACGGCAGCACCGTTTCCAACACCGGTTACGCCAATGAGGCA